GTGGGCTTTCTCTCTCTCTCAAATAGATAAACAAACAAACAAATACATAAATAAGTAAATAAAATCTTAAAAACCAAAACAAAAAGTAGATCCCTTCAGAAAAAGACAGATAATCCCTGCTATGCATATGGTGTCAGGAAATACTTTGGAGAGGAATTGCTTTTGCTTTCTTCCCTTTTCCAGTGTTCTTTTATATATCCACCATTTCTCCCTTCCTCTTTGTCTCTATTCACTCAGCTATTTACTATAGGCTTTATTAGCAAATTTTCAGACTAGTTATTTCTAATATTTTCATCAGAGTGGGTAGAGAGTTAAATCAAGTACATGTATTGATTAATTCCATTTTGAGTGCTTTGTCTGGCTTTTAGATTTGTGCTGCATCTATTAAATTGAGAAAGAGCTGGGAACTTCCTAGGGTCCTTTTCAGGGCCAAATTTTATCTTGTGATGAATTTGGATTCTGGCACTTGCTTAGGCCTTTGGCACTTTTTAATAAATGCCATTTATTCCTGTGGTTTAGAATGTTTCCTCATCTCTACTTCTTTATTTCTGTGTACTCTGTTCAGAATGATCTCATTAATATGGATTATGGATGACACGTGGTTATATCAGCTTGTGCTACAGCTTGTACTTATGTCTGTAACAGCAAGTGGCTATCAGGAGTCAGGAGAGACTAAAACTTAGTAATAGATGGATCATTTACAGTACTGATTCTCAACTTAATAGATGCAGCATAAATCTAAGCAGTAGAGGAGGAACAGAGGGAGAGGGAGAAGCACACTCCCCACTGAGCAGAGACTCAGACGTGGGGCTTGATCCCCAGACCCTGAGATTATGACTTGAGCCAAATGCTTAACTGGTTGAGCCACCCAGGCACCCCTAAACTCCTTTGTTTGAAAAAAGGAGAAAGAATGCAGGGAAGAATTCTGTGTGTGTGTGTGTGTGTGTGTGCATGTGCGCACGCATGTGTGTTTATAATGTAGATCCTATAGCCAGAAAAGACCTCATCAAGAAGGGGATAAAAGACCTGAAGGGAGGCAGCCCACGTGTAAGAAGTGTGATCCAGGTAGAGGAAATAACATGTGTAAAGCATAGAACAGGAATGTGCTTGGTGTGTTTCAGGAACCATTAAAAGGCCAGTGTTGCTGGAACAGAATAAGTAAAGTGGAGAGTGAATATTAAGAAGTGAGGTCAATGAGATAACATGGGCAACATTATATAGGGATTTATGGGCTATTTTAAGAGAAATAGGGTTTTGAGCAGAAGAGAGACATGAGATCTGATTTATTTTTTAATGGGATTGGGATACCTGGGTGGCTCAGTGGTTGAGTGTCTGCCTTTGGCTCAAGGCGTGATCCTGGGGATCCCTGTGAGGAGCCTGCTTTTCTCTGCCTGTGTCTCTGCCTCTCTCTCGCTCTCTGTCTCTCATGAATAAATAGATAAAATCTTTTTAAAAAAAGATATTTTAATGGGTTCATTTTGTCTACTGTGTTGAGAATAGATTGAAAGGAAGCAAGGGTAAATAAAATCAAGGAGACTGATTAGGAAGCAGTTGGTAACATTTTGGCAAGGTGATGGTGGCTTCGTCCAGCATGGCACCAGTAGGGGTTGTAAGATGTGGTTGAATTTGCTGATTGTTTTGGTAGGGAGAGTGAGAGAAAGAGAACAGTCAGGAGTAATTTCAAGTTTTTTGCCAGAGCAACTAGAAGAATGGCGTTTACAAACAAGATGGAGAAAGACTGTGAGGGGAGCAGGTTTGAGGGAGAAGATAGGAAATTATTTTGGACATATCTGAGATGCTTATCAGATACCCAGTTGGAGAAATGTATAAGTTTGAAGTTCAGGGTAGAGATTAGGGCTGGAATCTTAAATTTGGGAAGTGGCAGTGTTCTTATGGGATATAAAATTCTAAATCTGGATGAGGTTGAGAGAGTAATATCGGTAGAAAAGAAGATATCCGGGGATCCCTGGGTGGCTCAGTGGTTTAGTGCGTGCCTTCACCCAGGGCGTGATCCTGGGGTCCCGGGATCGAGTCCTGCATTGGGCTCCCTGCATGGAGCCTACTTCTCCCTCTGCCTGTGTCTCTGCCTCTCTCTCTCTTTCTCTCTCTCTCTCTCTCTCTCATGAATAAATAAATAAAATCTTTAAAAAAAGAAAAGAAGATGTCCAAGATCAAAGTCTAGTTCTAGCTCAGCTCTTAAAGGCCCAAATTTTTAATAATTGTTCTCCAATATTGCTGTTTCTAGTATTATAATAGATACTCATTAAAAACCTATTACATGGAGACTGCCCTCAAGAAGCTTATGGTTGATACGAAGAAACAAAATATAGGACATACATTTGAAAGGTTTATTTATTTATTTTAAAGATTTTATTTATTTACTCATGAGAGACACAGAGAGAGGCAGAGACACAGGCAGAGGGAGAAGCAGGCTCCATGTGGGGAGCCTGATGCGGGACTCGATCTGGGACCCCAGGATCATGCCTTGAGCCAAAGGTAGACGCTCAACCACTGAGTTATCCAGGCATCCCTGAAAGCTTTAAATTACAGTACAAAGTATAATATATGATTATATGTCATAGTGAGTGGAAAGGACTATAAATTTACCTATTCTGCTTATGAAGAGATTACTTGGCATGGAAATGAATGATAAAGTCTTGTTGGAGGAAATGCGAATTGAACTAAATCTCAAGCAATGGGCAGCAGATTGGGGGGCACATTTTTGGGAGGTCCTCAAGACTACACTCAAGTTCAGTAATTTACTAGGAGGACTCATAGAATTTAGAAAGATGTTAAATTCACAGTTGCAATTTGTTGCAGCAAAAGAATATGGATTAAAATTAACATCAGGAAAAAGTACATAAGGCAGGGTCTAGGAGAGTTCAAAGAGGGGTCTTCCGTTTGTCCTTTCCCAGTGATCGTGCAGATAGCACTTCTCCTAGCAGTGATGTATGGCAGTAGGCATGGAGTATTGCCAGGTAGGGAAGCTCACCTAACCCATGGTATCCAGGGTTTTTCCTGGGGATTGGTCACATAAACATGGCTGACTCTCCAGAGCTGATACAATGTGGCTGAAGGCCCCCATCCACTGTAAATCACATTGTAAACCACATTGCTATCTTATATTATTTGGCATTGTCCAGGACCCTCCAGTAAACACAGACAACTATCAGGTAGGAAGGACATTCTGAAGGTTTACCTCCCAGGAGCTGGGGGCAAGGGCCAAACCTTTCTTTGGGCAAGTTTAATCCTTTTCTGAATGATAGTTGGCAGGGAGGATGATGCCCTCTATGTGGAGATAGCATGAGCTGAGTTATAGTAGGAATGTGTACATCATATTTATAGAACATTGTAGTGAATATAATATGGCCTTGAGAATATGAACCCTGGAGCCAGACTACTAGGTTTCATATCTTAACTGTCCCTTGCTAGTTGTGGAATTTATAGCATTTACAGATGTTACATAATTGGTAACATTTTTAAGCAAGGGTAATAAGAGTGTCTATTATTATTATTTTAATAAATTAATTTTTATTGGTGTTCAATTTACCAACATACAGAATAACACCCAGTGCTCATCCCGTCAAGTGTCCCCCTCCGTGCCCGTCACCCATTCACCCCCACCCCCCGCCCTCCTCCCCTTCCACCACCCCTAGTTCATTTCCCAGAGTTAGAAGTCTTTATGTTCTGTCTCCCTTTCTGATATCTCCCACACATTTCTTCTCCCTTCCCTTATATTCCCCTTCACTATTATTCGTATTCCGAGTGTCTACTTTATAGGCTTGTTGTGAGGTTAAAAAATTTAAAATATAAAACACTTAGAATATGTCTTGACACACAGTAAGTGCTACAGAAATCAGGAGTTTGAAAAAAAAAAGAAATCAGGAGTTTGTTCATTCTTTAATCATTCACTCAGTGATTCTTTTTGAGCACTAGTATGTTGAGCACTCATATTCTGAGCCTCAGATCTCTATTTCCTGATATCTGGACAGTTTCCAGATATCTAGAGAGTTTGTGGCTCATTTAACATTAACTTGTTCAAAAAGAAATTAAATAATTTTTCACACAAATGATATCTATTAATGACAGTACTATTAATCCAATTTTATTTAAAGATTACCAGCTGTTGTGGGCACCTAGGTGACACAGTTGATTAAGTGTCTGACTCTTGGTTTCAGCTCAGGTAATGGTCTCATGGTGAGAGATTGAGCCCTGCATCAGGCTCCATGCTCAGCATGGAGTCTGCTTGAGATTCTTTCTCTCTCCCTCTGTCCTTCTGCTTGTGCTCTCTCTTCCTCTCTCTCTGAAAAGAAAAAAAACAAAAACAAAATCTTAAAAAATGATTATCAGCTGTTACTATAGGTTAAAACTTGTATTCAGTTGGCAAAAAACTTAATTTGTAGGGAAGTGTTGATCCATAGTTATATTAAGTGGAAATCATTGTGATGCCTATGCATTTATTCTGTTGCCTCAACTGTTACCTGAAGATGGCATGCTATGTAATTTGGCCTGTAGTATTAGTAATAGAAATGATACCTTCCGAAAAGAAGGGTTTATCATAATATTCTGCTGCTTAAGGGCATGTACTTATAGAATTGCATTCCTTCCTGCTGTGCCATCTTTTTTTTTTTTTTTTTTTTTGGACAATGATAAGCTTCAGAGTAGTGACTTTGCATGTAAGAGATAGGAAAGTGTTTTTAGGTGTTTTACAAGCTTGCTTATTTTAAATCATTAACTTATGCTTTGAAGTAACTAATTTAATGTTGGTACTGTAGCAAATTATCATAAATAGCTTTAATTGTATATTAAAAAGTCATATTCACAGGCTAAAATTGGGATATCAGGATTAAGCAATTCTTGAAATGTATGAATGTCTCCTTAATATACTGACTACAGAGCAAAGAAAAAATTACTAGCTGTTGCAAAGGATGGATTTAATAAAGAATAAATTTTGGTGAACTGGGAAGTTAATGTTAGTTTTCTTTTTTGTGTACATTCAGGTCTGTGTATGACGACCAACCAAATGCACACAAGAAGTTTATGGAAAAGTTAGATGCTTGTATCCGTAATCATGACAAGGAAATTGAAAAGATGTGTAATTTTCATCATCAGGGTTTTGTAGATGCTATTACAGAACTCCTTAAAGTAAGGACCGATGCAGAAAAGCTGAAGGTAAGAAATATTTTAAAATTCTCTTTATCTTTGCTCTCATTAAATTAGTCAAGTATTAGTTTATAATACATATGTACAAATCATTATTAAATGTACTATTTTCAAGAAGTGAATTAGTGTATATATTTGGGAATGCTCTTTATGCTCTATTAACATAGTTGTCATGCTAATGACAGGAGTAATCTCTTTTTTTGTAAAGCAAGTAATGCATTGACTTAACAGGATTTCTTTCCATGCAGGGAAATGAACTAAAAAAATTCATAGAACTGAAAGCCTCATTTGCAGTTTAGAATTTAAAAATTTCAATTAGTACAATAATGATAAAAACTATCCTCTAAAAAACTAAAAAAAAAAACTGTGATTGTGTTCTCGAAATTATTTAATAATATTGAAACTTTTTTTTTAGTTTAATAGCAAAGCATAATTTTCTTAAAGGAAGTAGGTCTATATTTTCTGCTATACAGCAAAAACATTTATTAAACTAGGCTTGAATTTGTTCAGTCAGAATACAAAGTATTTAGTTATAAGAATTGGCCTATTTATCTTTCTTTACATTTGGAGAATTTAGCAGATAAAATGACCCTGGTTCACCAAGGTTATGATTAGAAAACCATTATATAAAGGATATTCAGATAACAAGAGACCAAATACAGCATCAATGAGGTCACTGAGCATCTTTGTTCAGAAATTAATGAGATTTTTAATAAAGTAGAATGTGCTTCCTTACTATGATGACCTAATGAGTCACTTAATATGTGGGAAAATTTGAGGTTGAGCTTTGTCTGCACCTGCAGCATTAAAATGTTGCTGTGGATTGAAATTTCCGTGTTTGATGTTAATCAACCACCCAGTGTTTGCATTCAGCAAAGTATGAATGTTTAATTACCATAAAATGCAATCACCATTTCGTACAGACAATGAATGGCACATAGACCTCATTGAAGTTATCAAAAAGGGACCAGTGGTCAATTGGGTCAGTGATTTGAATTGTTTGACAGACTTAGAGAAGCAAGGAAAGTTCAAAAATCTAGATTAAATTTGAGAAGTTTGCCACAGAATCTGTTAAAAAGAACTGTCATAAGTAATTGAAGTTAACAAAAGCCCTTTTCAATCAAAAGTTCAAGTTCAAGCTGTAGAGTTAATTTGAATTTGCATTTCTTTGTTCTAAGTTTCTCATGAAGCATGATCTGATTACAAGGGTGAGCAGTTATATCAGGGCAGTTTTATGCATATTTGTCTAACTAAGGTGAAATTATTTTTAAGGTGCAAGTTACTGATACCAACCGAAGATTTCAAGATGCTGGAAAGGAGGTGAGAATATAATAAATTTCTTGCATACTCAATATGTGGGATGCAATTTAACTGTTTGCTTAAAAATATGAATGTTTCTTCTTTTCTAAGGTGATAGTCCAAACAGAAGATATTATCCGATGTAGAATTCAGCAGAGAAATATTACAACAGTAGTAGAAAAATTACAGTTATGCCTTCCAGGTGAGTTAAACTTGTCTATAATGTAATGCTTGGTTTGGTGAAATTATAATTGAATCATAGCATATGGTTATTATTCATTATGGGAATTACAGATTATTTGGTGATTGCCCCCAAAAGCTCATGGTTATCTTTCTTATCTATTTTAGTCCTTGAATTTTCATGGTTTTCTTATCTTTTAAAGTTTTGTTTGATGATCTGTCACATCAGGTTCCTAGAACAACCTGTACCTCTCCCATTTCCTTCCTGCCTTGTTTGTCCTTTGTCCCTCACCCCCCCCCCCCACTGCTTTTTTGTTTTTCCTCAATACTTTCCCATGGAGGAGAGTGTCTTTATTACATTTCCTTGCCTTTGCTAATTTGCCTAATTTTTTACTGCTCGTTTTCCACTGTTTTCTGTTTGTCACTTAAGCTGGTTGGTTTTGCTTTGATCCTAGTCTCGTTTTGCTGATAAAAGTAAAAAATCCCAAAGTGCTAGATCTTTTCCCTTCTTTGGTCTTGCCTTTGCTCTTATATCTTGGAAAGACTGACTTTTTAGGTTTCTGAGTTCGATCACTGTGTTATGGCTGATAGTACTGGGACATCAAATAAATTCTGAAGAAACTCACCAGTATTTTCTTTCCCCTGATGTATCCTGTTCAAACAAAAGGAAGCAGGGTGTATGTCATCTTTTTCTTCATATAGTAAGCTGAATCCATTTTACTGTAGCATTTTTTCAAACTTTTTTTTTTTTTTTTTGGCAAGAACTTGAACCTCCATGTCCAGGGAAATAGAATGAGATACTTGGTATGATATTTATATAATGTAAATTTAGCTTGGAGCACAAATTATATGTTAAAATTGTCAGCAGATTTTATTAACTAAAAAACACTGTTTTTTGACTTTGTGAGAATAACTTTTTTTTTTTAAAGAATCATTGAAATTCTACTCAGTTTAATCTCTGAACCATGGATAATTTGTACATTAACTTTGAGTATATAAAATGTCTGCTTATTATATTCAGTTTCAGGGTTCAGGAACCTACTTCCTTATGGTAATGTTTAATAATATACCTCTTTGCCACCATCAGATACACTGAAGTAGCCATGAAGACAGTCTCTAAGTTTGATTGCTTTGTCCCTGAATAGTAATAAGCCTAAACAATTGGGTACTGGTGGAATGAGAAAGAGCTGATTTTAGCTTCTTCCTTACGGGGCTATTTGGAATTGAGAAATAAAGGGTAGTAGAGGTTAGAGTTTTATCACTGCTACTGTCTTTGCTTTCAAGACTGGATGGGCAGTCTGAATTCATGTAAATATTGTGCTCTTAATAGCCACATTGTGAATTGCTTCCTTTACTCCATCTAGCCTTTTGTTGAATTATCCACTTATAAATACTTTTTTGTGTCAGCCATTACAATAAATAATGGAAATACAAAGTTGAAAATGACATAGTCCTTGCTCTGAAGGATCCTACAATCTAATACGAATAAAGATAAGTAAGCTGTTATTGTATAATTGCCTCACTCCTCCTTGCATTGGAAGGAATATGAGAGAATATAAGGAGTCATAGGGTAAACAATGCATTTTCCTGCTGCTTAAGTTTTTCTTATTATTTTTGAGGAGAGCATTATTTTTATCTGGAAATAAGATAGATATGAAAGTTACATAAATTGTTGAGGTAAAACGGGAGACTTCAAAGAAAGTTTATACTTGTAGCAGCAGTTTTTGGCATTTCCCCAGGTTATGTGTTCACTCTGCTTTGGTTGGAAAATGTGAGAAATACTGCGTTACAGTATAGGGACTGTGATAGAGATATTCATAGGTTGGATGGTTCACTGTTGCCACCATTGCAACTTTCAGACAAGTGAACTAAGTATCTTCTGTAAACTTGAAGACCCCTGGGAAGTAGCCAAAATAGAAAATCTGGAAAAAAGTGTCTCTCTCTCCGGTCTGTGAAAATGTGAGCCAGTGGTTTAATGAGCCAATGATAATTTACTCACTTTATACTTTGAAATTCTACTAAGGATAAATTGTAATCTGTGTAGTTGCATTAAAACCTTTTTGGTGGCAATATGTCATCTTGTTGAAGGTTATAACAATTTTATTGAATAATTGCATTTCCAAGGCTGTAATAAAAATGATAAAAAAAAGTTGCTTTGCTCTGTTTATTTATGATTTTATTATAATTTATGCTCTGTAAGCTTTTGGGTTTTTTTTTTCTTTGTCATTTTGGTGTAAAATTTTGTTTAGTGAGCTATAGCACAGTTGTGTTTGGTATATTTTTGATATATGTATTTTATTTGATATATTGAATCAAAATTAATCAATCTCACTCAATGTTGTCTCTTGAGTAACTAAAGTCCAAACTTCCAGTTCCAGTTCTTAACAGGAAGAAACTGTTAAGTTTCTGAATATGATAATTGTTAGTAGGTTAATGTTTCAATTATAGGTATCAACATATGAAAATGTTCCAAATTCTATAAAATGCGTTATTATATGTAATGTAATGTTCAATATATAGAGACATTAAAATGTTTTTATTTACTTGAAGTATGAAATTTTATTTGAGAATATAAGCCTGAATTAAAGTATAGAGAAAATTAATGAATTTATAATAGGCTCTTTCCTGTTTTAATTTTTTCATCTCAGTTTTTTTCATTTTGAAAGCTAAAATAAGTTATATTTTTTAATGCAGTGCTGGAAATGTACAGTAAGCTAAAAGAACAAATGACTGCAAAAAGGTGAGTTGGTTTCCTTCCTGTTTTTAATAAGAGTCATTTATTTTTCTGTTAAGAAAAGCATGGATAAACTTACTATAAAGTGAGTCATGTGAAGTTTTACTTTCTACCTTTATTCTTTTTCATGCAAATTGCCCATCAGAATCATCTAATAAAGCAATTATTAACCATTTATTTGTGGATACATATGCTCTATAAGTGAAATCAAAGGTTGATAATATTGATGAAGGACAAATGGGCAACCAAACAGGAATAAAAAATATTGATTAGCTTCCATGTGAACATTGCTTACAATAAAAGGCTGAGTGTGTATTGTGAACCACAGTGAAAGCAGTGTGGGTAGTTATATTTTGATAATCTGGGCTCCTGTAGATCATGTTCTGTTTTATAACACTAATGAATACATGACAAATGAAAAATCATTTGAAGTAATTTATTATCATTAGATGTAATTATGTTTAAAATGTTTTAAAGATGGACAATTTTAAAGTAACAGAAAAATCAGAATAAATGAGAATATTCTGCATTTGGAATAGGGAAATAATGATTTCCTCTTGATTTATTAATAATTGCTTAATTATCACTGTACATTATGTACAAATCTATACTCATAAGTCTGTATACATCCTGCTTTATAGTGTTAAACATTGAATTTTATTGGCTTTTACCAATTCATAGTAATTAGTAGAATTATTTTTTTGCTTCTTAATACATGAACCATCAGCTATCGGAAAAGTCTTTTTTATACTTTTTTTCTATCGAAGTTGTACATCCTCATATTTTGAAGACTCAGATAATATAGTTCTATGTGTTTGTTGCAGAAAAATAGGCATCATCTTCCCTACTTGCCATTTACCATTTCTTCTTGCTAGGGGCACAAAACCTTTTACCTCTTTTTTTTTTTTAAATTTTTTTTTAATTTACTTATGATAGTCACAGAGAGAGAGAGAGAGAGAGAGAGAGAGAGAGAGAGAGAGGCAGAGACACAGGCAGAGGGAGAAGCAGGCTCCATGCACTGGGAGCCCGATGTGGGATCCAATTCCGGGTCTCCAGGATCGCGCCCTGCGCCAAAGGCAGGCGCCAAACCGCTGCGCCACCCAGGGATCCCCCTTTTACCTCTTTTAAGGCATTATTTTGGTGTTTGCATTCATGTTTTTAAATAACTAACTTTTAATGTTTCTTTACTATTTTCTAGTTTGGGGCACTATATATTTTTTTCAATAACATAATGTAATATTTATATTCAGATTTCCCCATTTATCCCAGATGTCTTATATCGTCCTTTCCACCCTGAAGCATTGGTTGATATTTCCTTTTTTGTCCCTTTAACCTAGAACAGTCTTCCTGCTTTACTTTGTTTTTCATAAAAGGGTCCAGGTCAGTTGTCTTGTTGACCAGGACATTTTGGATTTGTTTAATTATTTTCTTATGATTAGATTCAGATGAACTGTTTTTGGTATGAGTATGATGTAAGTGATATTGTGTACCACTCACTGTATGAAATCAGAAGGCATATACTGTTAGATTTTCTCTAGATTATGTTAAATTTGGTCTTTTGGTTAAGAGGATGTCTACTAGATCATTTGAAAAAAGTATCTTTTTCTCTTTGCAATTACTAAATATTCTGTGCGGTGATATTTTGAGTCCTATTTCCTTAACCTTCCACTCATTGGTTTTAGGATTCTTGCTTTAGATTTTTAATTTTTTTTTTAAAGTAATCTCCATATCCAATGTGGGACTCCATCTCACAACTCCCAAGATCAAGAGTCACATGCTTCTCTGACTGAGCCAGCCAGGTGTCTCTCTTGCTTTAATCAGTTATTATATTTAGGTTATAAAATGATGATTTTTATAATTCTGTCATTCCTTAGACATTTATTAGACATTAATATTAGCATCTTAATATAAAGAAGAGCTTTTTTAAAAAAAATCTTTTTTCTTCTCTTTTTCTTTTTCTTTTTTTTTTTAAAAGATTTTATTAATTTACTCACGAGAGACAGAGAGAGAGAGAGAGAGAGAGAGAGAGAGAGAGAGACAGAGACACAGGTAGAGGGAGAAGCAGGCTCCATGCAGGGAGCCTGACGTGGGACTCGATCCCAGGCTTCCAGGATCACACCCTGGGCTGAAGGCAGCGCTAAACCGCTGAGCCACCCAGGCTGCCCTCTTCTCTTTTTTCATTATCAGTATAGACTCATGGATTTAAAAAAATAGTGTGTTATAATTATACTGCTGTTTTCATTATTCTTTTTGATGCTCAAATTGTACCACATTTGGTGAGGGGAACCCCTCAAGCCAATTTCTGTGTCCTCATCTGTCTTTGAGTACTTTCTTGCCACACAGTAATATGTTCCAGGCCCACATTGTACTTGTCTTGGCCCTAGACCTAGAAATAGCCATTTTGCAAGATACCCCAGTTCCTTTTAATAATGTTATTTAGAAACAGATCTACTTGCTGGGTTGGTGTATTATACCCCTGCACTAGACACACACCTCTCTCATGCCCTCTAGCCTTCCAGGGTTGCCTTTGAGAAGTTTGAAGCCATTCTAATTTCTCATCTTTAGTTTGTGACCTTCCTTTTTTCAATATATCAAATAAAATACATATATCAAGAGAGAGAATCTTTTCTTCTGTGGTCTGTAGTTACCTGATGATGTGCTTTGATGTGGGCCTGTTTACTTCCATTGTGCTGGGTACTTGGTGAACCTATTTGGAATTTAATCTGGAAACTGCTTTGATCTGATAATGTCTTTAAAATCTAGGAGATTTTCTTGAATTATTTATTTCTTTCTGTTTTCTTGATTCTAGGAGAGATAGTGATCTTTAATCTTCTGGATTGGTCCTCTGATTTTCTTTTTTCTTCCTTAACATTTTTTATTCTTTTGCTTGCTCTGCTTCTCGGATGTTTTTTCATTTTTATCTATAAAAATAATGCTGATTTTATTTCATTTCTGCTCTCTGATTTTTAATTTTCTAAGAACTATTTTTTGATCTCCAAATATTTCTTTTCTTTTTCTTTTCTTGTTTAGGATAACTTGTTCTCGATTCATTGTTAACAGTACTTTGTCTTAACCTCTCTGAGATTTTAAGTCTATGTATTTATATGTCTTCTTACATATAGTTTGTTTCCACTAAGTTCCCCCCACCCCAGTTGTTGTTTTTGTTTTTTTAATCTCTGACTTTGTGGGTAGGGGTGTTTCTCACATGTCAGGTAATTCCTTGGCTAACTACTCATATTTAAGTGTAGCAGAGGTAATAGGCTGATTGGGAGTTCTGAGTATGTGGGTGGGACTTGTTGAATGTGAATTTGTGTGAGGTTATCTAGCTGGGCTGTTTAGTTGGTGAGACTTTGCTGTTAATATCTGGAGTTATTTCTTTTGGGGCTGCTCAGATTCCTAGAGGAGACTTTTCTTGTTTCCTGTCTTAAGGGTCAAGATCTGACTGCCACCATTTTGGGATCTGAGTTGCTCAAGAGGGCATTTAGTATACATAGGCTCTATTAATTCTCTTGTTTTCAAATTAGTACTATTGCCTTCAACCTTGAGTAATGTCCCCACCCTATTCAGAGATTATTGTTCTAGTCTCTTTAGTATTTATCAAAATGGGGAAAAATTGTTGCTCAGATGACTGAAGTTTGCTTCTTAAACACATTTTCAACCAATATTCCTTACTTTAGCCTTCCTTTCATTCCCACCTCCATAAGTAGTGAGATTCCTATGAATTCTTGACATTTTTGGAGATTCTAGAGAATAAATAAGTTTATGCTTGTCTCCTCAACTATTGACTTAGAATTTTCTCAGATTTGCTGAGTTTTTTTTTTTTTTGTACCACATGTCCATCAGCTTTCAGCATTCTAAAATTTTACTGTTCTCCTTTTCTCTACATCTGTGTAGGCTTATACTTAAAAAAACATCTCTTCATGTTATTTTATTGGGAGTTTCAAGGAGGCAAGGTTTTATTAAAGCATGTATTCAGGCTGCCATCGCACTAGATATTTAGGACCCCACTTCTGGTGCTCTGCTATATTTTTGTCAAGATAAATATCCATATGGGGTAATAAAATAAAAGGTATGGGCAGATGTTATTCCTGGTGATCATTACAGATTAGCAACCTATAGAATCAAATTGACCCATAGATATATTTGGTTTGACTTGTAAAATGCGAAAAAAAAAGTTTTTTTGTTAATACCACTTCATATTTGTTAAAATATCTGCGTTTACATTGTGATGACTCACAAATCTGATTCTTGAATCCCAAGCTTGGCTTTGACATCCCTGATTCTTGTTTACTCTTTTCACATGGATATTTCACCACTATCTCAAGTTCAGCATGTCTGAAACAGGCTTAACAATCTTTGCTTATTTCAGGGATTGGCCCCTTTTCTGTCAAGTGTGTTGTGAAATATTTACTCTGTGATACAGTTTTTTATTTTTTAAGTTATTTGCTTAGCAGTTTTTTAGACCCAAATACACAAATCGTAAGTCTATTATATAGCTCCATGAGTTTTTATTTTTTATTTTTATTTTTTTAAAGATTTTTTTTTAATTTTTATTTATTTATGATAGTTACACACACACACACAGAGAGAGAGGCAGAGACATAGGCAGAGGGAGAAACAGGCTCCATGCACCGGGAGCCCGATGTGGGATTCGATCCTGGGTCTCCAGGATCGCGCCCTGGGCCAAAGGCAGGCGCCAAACCGCTGCGCGACCCAGGGATCCCCGCTCCATGAGTTTTTAAAAAGCAAATACACCTTTATAACCACCAAGATGAAGATTTGAACATGATTTCTATTCGAAAAGCTTTTCTCATACTCTCTTCTGGTCATTACCACTCAAGTAAGATATGGAACATTTCTATCACCCCTTTATGCCCCTTCCCAATTGATTCCTCCTTCCTCCTCTACAATAACGACCTTCTGATTTCTATCACATGTTCTTAGAATTGATATAAATGGAATAATAGACTTTCTTGTCTAGTATCTTTCACTCCAAATGTTTTGAG